AACCGTTCGTTTGCCTTCAACAACTTCTTGGACATCAAAAGAGGCCAAAAACTCATAGGTAATGCGTTTGTAAGTGAGGACATGCTTGGACAGGAAACCGTCCAAACCAATATTGTATGCCAAACGCTTAACCTCTTCACCAATAAAGAACTTTTTTGCCGTGACATCGCAATAGGATCTAGTGGGACACACATTTCTCTTAGCAAGCTTAACATATAACTTCCATTGCTCATTTGTGGTGAACTCAATGCCCATAGTGTCGATGTGAGTGGGCGGAGTTGCAACCGGTCTAGATAATGATGAGCTCGCTTCATTCCTAGGGTGTTTCCCACGTGGTGCCATATACAATGCAAACAACAAAATAGTCTTGATGAAAATAGCCAAAACGATGAATAATACCGCACTAAAGGAATTTGCAAGTAAATAATCAAAGTATGGTAAAAAAGCATGCCATTCATCAAATTCATATCAATTAAGCAACAATAAGCATACTAGTGAATATAGCCATGAACAACATTATCTATGAAGAACAAGTAACAAGTGACCATGGTGAACTCATATCAAGCAATTAATAATCCAAACTAGTTATAAAAATCACCATCAAACATCAATTTTATCAATAAGCAAGCAAAAGGAACCCAATAACAAAGCATACTCAATAAAGCAAAAATTAGGGTTCTAAGTGGTGAAAGGAAATCATGAAAAATTCAAAGAAAGTGAAGAAATCATACCTTAAACAAGCAATAAAAGCCTACTAATGCACTAAGAGTAGAAAGAAATGCTCCAATTACAAGCCTTGAGCAAAAATCTCACCCAAATAAAAAAAAAAACCCCCAAATTATTCAAAAGTATAAACAATTCGAAAATTTGAGTGAAAATTGGTGCAAATGTTGATGAAAATGATGTTAATTGATGATTTAAACATGAAAAAATAAAAAAAAAAATGAGTGAAAATGAAATATGAATGAATGAGTGAAGTTTAGAGAGAGTGTGCGAAAGAAGTCGGGACTGCTACTGGGAAGTGCGAGAATTTATGCTGAAATTGTTGCCGCTGCTATTTATATTCCTTTAAGCATTGACCATGATTGCTTTGAGGGTTAGGCCTTGAACTTAGATGATTTTGATGAAGATAAGGTTCAATCTGAGAAGGTTGATGAGGTATAGCTTACTTTTGATGATTATGAATATGAGAGTGAAGTGTTTTGTGAGGTTAAACCTCCAACTCCTATCTCAAATCTTCAACCATTGCCTTTCTCTTTCACCTTTGATGACACTTTTTCTTCTACATTTTCCACCATTAAGGATGGTGAGGCCTTTTTAGAGGGAGATTGTGATTCTTATGTTCATCTTGAGCTCCCTCCCAAGTTTGACCCTCAACCCTTTAATGAACTTTCTTTGAACCTTAATGATGACTCGAAGCTTTTGAGAGCTCATTTAGGGTGTGAAGTTTAAGATGAAGATGAGGTTGAGAATGATCTTGATTTGAATGGTGATGAGGTGGAAGAGAGCCCTTTGGATGAGAGTTCATTGGATGAGAGAGCTTCTGTTTCAATGGTTGGTGGTATAAGTGAGCGATCAATTTCTATTCCTCCACCTTAAATCCCATTTTCAAGAAAGCTTTATCTTGTTCCTTCCTATCCCATGTCATTACCTTCTTTTCTTATTTTCCTTCCCATTGAAGAACCTTTAGTCCCCCAAGTGCCTCATTTGATGATTATTGAGGATAATAGTGGGACTTCCAACCAAAAATATTTTGTTGAGAAGAGTATGTCTTCTTTTTCTTTTATTTCTTCTTCTTTTTCTTATATTCTTGTTTTCTCCTTTTCTCCTTCCTCTTCTTGGCATAGCTCTTCTTAACTTCATAGGTTTGCAGTAAGCTTGTTGCATGCCCTTATTTCGTCATGTACATACTTACTTTCTTATAAAATGTGTAGTAGTGCAATTGACAAGCTCTTGCGTTCATTGCAATATTATTAACTAGAGAGCAAGCCTTTCTCGGGAAGTAACCCGTGTTTTATTGCTTTCATTTTCTTTTCTTTTTAGTATAGATTTTTCTCTCATGGAAATGTTTGTGTGCCTTTTTTCTAGGTACATGACTTGATATACTCTTATGCATTAGTATTGGATCATGAATCAAGGTAGTGTGAATCCTCTTTCCTAGCATATGGCATATGAGGCATAACTTTGAAATTGGCTTTGAAAGGTTGAATTAGGTCATTTGCGGGTATTTACACCCACCTATACCCGGTAATACCTTTCCTTGTTTTTTCTCTAATGTTTAGTGACTTGTTGGACATTTGTTGGTTTGTTGGATGCTTTTCTTTCTTTTCCCCTTCCCACGTATTATTTGGTTTATGTGTGAGCATGTCGTCTCATTCAAGCTTGGGGGAGGGTATTCTATCATGTTTGGTGGGATTTTGATTCTTTTATGTTATGCACATTTGTATATCCATTTCTATTTTCTTATATTTTGAAAACTCCAAAAAGATTTTTGTTTCTATCGAGGCAAATTTTGCAATGTGTCTTTGTTTTGTCATTGCTTTGGACATCATACTTTTGGACTTGTGTTCTTGAATGCTTTTCTTCCTAAATGGTAGAGGTTTACACACTTTAAGATATCTTGGGTTGACTCTAAGATATGATATGCTAAGGTAGTTTGTTAAGAACTTTAGAACCATGAAGTCCTAGTTCACTTGATTGTGGTAAGATGGAGTTGCTCTCTATAATGGATCTAAAACCAAAAGTGAGTTTTTCCTATCCCATGTGAGGTGTCCTTTTTTTAGCCTTCTTCATATTTTGATTAAGTGGCAAAATAGGATCCTTGGCTATTGCATTCTTTTATCTAGAACTTGACTTTTACCTCCCAAGATCGCGACCGAACCATTTAGGGGATGACATAGGCATTTCTTCGGGGTCTCTAATTTTCTTCTTCTAGGTTAGTTTTCAATTTTTGGTTTTGGTTTGCATTTGCCCTCTTGCTAGCCCATTTGAGCCATTTACCTTCTTTTCTCTAACCTCATTACAAGCTTTCAAGCCATTTGTTTCATTATCTACCTTTAGTTTTTGTGAAGCTAGTTGATCAAAAGTATGTGTTGTATTAAAATTTGTGAATAAAAGCAAATGCAAAATGAAGAAAAAGTCGTCTATAGTTAAAAGAGGCGAGGACAATGCAATAATTTTGAGAAAAAGCAAATGCTTTGAAAAAGTGAAAATTTAAAAAAAAATTAAAATGAAAAGTTCAAAAATATTTTGATGTAGGTATGATCTCCCTAGTTTAGAGCATTGAGGACAATGCTCCATTTAAGTTTGTAATGTTGCTTTGAATAACTTAGGCCCTGTAGGTATTTTTGTTTGAGTTTCAGGAAAAATAAATTCAGATAAGGGTTAATAGTTCAAATAAGTTCAGATAAGATAAGTTTAGGAAAAATAAGTACTGATAAATTGTGATAAGGGTTAACTAGGGCTATCCAAGTTCAATTTATAACTAAAATAAGTTCTAATAAGGGCTAATAAGTTCAGAAGAGATCAATTAGGAGAATAGAATGCACCCTTAATTATGGTGTTGAGGATTGATCACCCTTTGCTTTACAATTAGATGTACCATCAAATTTCAAATTTTTAGCCTACCTTTACCCCTTTGCCCTTACGTTACAACCCTTTAAAGACTTTTAGACCCTAATGGATGAGTCACTAGTCAGTGAAGGAAGATAATAGTCAAGCCTATGGAGCGAGTTTGGTCAGCTAAGACGTCATGTAGCCTTGATTTTCATTGCATTTTTCCGGTTCCTTCGAGGAATCATGAGATGCTCACTTAAGGTGAATTTGAAGCTAGTAGGAAGAACGCGGTAAGATTGCTTGGGACGAAAGGTGAATTGCGTCTTGTTAGTTCTCTATGCTTAGCATATCTTATGTTTCAACCTTAGGTATCTTGTTTAGAAAGACTTGCATCCATTTGTGATTGTTCATTTGCAAAAGTCCATTCAAGAGCATTTGTTTTTCTTTTAATTTCCTTTTCATGCTTTGCCTTGTTTGGTTTGTGAGAGTTGTGGGGTTAACCTCTAGGGAAACCCTCACAAGAGCATACTCGTCCTCTAGGGCGATCTAGGGGTTTAAATGGTTTGTCTCTAGTTTTTAAAATTGACCGTGATTCCTACGAAAGTGAGTTAGTGTATATTTTCATCTCTTCTACCTTTCTATGCTTGAATAAGTTTATCATTTTCCCTTGGGTTTGATTTTGTTTTGCTCGAGGACGAGCAAAAGTTTAGCTTGCGGGATATAGACATAGATTCAAATGCATTTCATTAGAAAGATTATAATAAAAGAGTTTGGTATATTATTATCAAATTGATTTTAAATCATAAAAAAGAGAAATCATTAACCAACTCCATTAGATATTTAGATTACAAGTGGAAGAGTACCACATTAATGGACTTCAAGTCTTCAAGGATACCAATTTGGATTTTAATGTTTTTATCATCTAACCACTTATGCCTCCTCAATTCATCATCTTCTCACTCTTTCATACAGTATACCAGCTCTCTCTTGTGGCAAAGCAAGTTAGGAAATAGATGAACTCTAATCCACTACTTTAACAATATTGTCGTTTGGAGCAAGATTTGGCCATGAGTATCCACATAGATCATAGCGGGCTAATTAGAAATAAAATTAAAACCAGATAAGGCTTTCCTTCTCTCACCTTTTTTCTGGGTACTTCTAAAGTGGAAAACTGGAGATTCTACTTAGTTAAGCCTCCACACTATACACTTGCAACAGTGTAAGCTACCTAAGACCTGAGTAAACCTAAATAACCCATCTGTTATAACCAATAGGACAATATCAAAGAGTGACACTGGATAATTACCAAGCTCACACCCTTAGAAAAAGTCTACGCAAGATCTCATGGTCTCAAAGTGACAAAGTGTAGTTATAAACACTAGAAAAATTGGATAGGACTGACCATCTAGAACTCATAAGACAAATTGTTTCTTAGAAATGCATACTTCTTTGAAAATAAAGGATCCAGACTTTGCTGCTCCACAAGGTGTTCAACAGTGTCCAAAGTGGTACCCACCTGCAGATCAAAGGAAGCGTGTAAATCCATGTTGCACTAATACAGATGCTGTGGCAGCAATAGTAAAGCCAACTGCCATGAGAGTTACTCATTGCCAAAAGCTGTGCTTTTTTTAGTGTTCCAAAGGGACTAGTTGTTTCTTCAATTTAAGATTTATTAATAGAAGGCAAAATAAGGTAGACATGCAACATCAACCTCCCATCTTGATTAAATACTCGGACTTGAGAACAGGGACCTGTAAAAGTGTGGATCCAAGAGACCAAATGGATATTTCCAAAAATATTATGTGCTTGAATCTAATTTGGAGTTTCTTAACATTAAATCCTATCCCTGAGGGTACTATGGAATGAAATACAAAGTAAACCTAATTTCCTCCCATTCCTGACTACTCTCCGCATGCTCAGGTCCCTTTTCAAGCTTTGAACCAGGCAAACATAGAAGTTAGATTCAATTGTTACAAACCTCAGAACTATATATTGCTAGGACCTGCTCCTCCAATGCCTTAAAGAGTCTAATTGTCTACACCTATTGCACTTTGAAGTGCAAAGTATCCAACAAGATATTTGAGTTGAATTGAAAAAGACTCTGCATCATAAGCTGAATTTGTCCCTTCGAGGCTATTTCACCTATTTGGAGTTTTAAGGGGTCTCCTAAAGCATGCAGTGGATGCTACAAAAAGCACAATACCTACAGATGATGAGCTCAATCAAAAAAGAAGAATTTCAGCCTTGCACTACGTCCTAATTGCTGAAAAAAGGGTGCTAAAGGAACAACGGATACAGGTTTGTATGCTAAGAGAAGAGGCTTATGCAAACTGTGTAGGGGAAAGCCCAACAACTCCAAAAATTCAAAGTATATTTTTCTGAAAATTTTCTATAATGCAATTATGCGAGTCAAGTACTTTGACAAGAGTATCAGTTATCTTTTCTACAATTTGTAGATAAAACCATGCATTATTCTCCCAAAAAAAATAAAAAAAAAAAAAAAAAGAAAAAGAAAAAAACTTGTTGCCTATTTTGTTCATAGATTTTCCAAAATGTGAGACTCGTGTATAGGATTGACAGATCAGAAATGTTTCTTTGTGGTGTGCTAATAATCTGACAAACAATCAGCCCTAATTTTTGAAATTTCAATACGCCTTCTCATGTAACTATGTAAGTTGCTTGAGTGTTCCACCTTCACAAGTGCAGATAATAAGTCGCATATGAGGCATAATGATTATCCAATAAGAATCATTTAAAGATGGCTTGACAGGAAAAATTGTTGTCAATACACCCAATTGGTGTCGGTGTTTTGTGCTTCTGAAAGCCATAACCTAGATGATTTAACAGCCATGTAGAACAATTATCTGGCAAGAAAAGCAGACAGAAGAAAGAAAAGTCCCATTATCTGAAGGCAGTGTATATCCGAAGATTTGCTAAAAAATGATTTGATTGATGTTAATCAGATGCCATGGGAGTAAAAGTATGCTGTGTCAAGGTAAAAGCAGAGGATCATCTGAGTATTTTATGAAGAATGTGATTTTACATATTTTGAACCGAAAAACAAGGAAAGTTCTAGTAGAATATTGGACTTCTTTTCTAAATGATATAACAGTTTTTTTACAAGTACCACATAATAGTTGTACCAGAAATGCACACATTCTTCTGTTGATATTGTGTTCTTAGACAAAGCCATCAACTTCCAAAAACAATATGTAAAGGCAATATACTTAAATATACTATGGCCTATGTTGCACTTCTTCAATTGTGAAATTCCCTTCTGTTGGGAATCTTGGGATAAATCCTTTATATAATAGAATGTTTGTTATAAGTCCTTTATACCATATCACTCCAAAAACCTCAATCAGACAATTCTAAGAAATAACTTCCAAAACCATTCAAAAAGTAAACGTTACCTTACTATCTACAAAATTATTCAATAACTACCTTAAAACAATAATCTCTTAAAAAATTAATCACTCTTCCTACCACAAAATCAACTGCCTACCATTGCAAAACATGAAAATTTAATAAGTATTATGTTATTCAGTGTATTACCTATACGTGCATTTGCACAGGTAAACTCTACTACTCTAGTGAGTATAAAAATCTGTTGATTGCTGATCAGTCAACAGCTCTGCATGTGGCTGCAGTTTTGCTGTATTTGCTTATCCCTAGCGAGCCTTGATCACCTAAGGCCTTGGGACTTTATTATCTTCTGGGAAACTATTTGCCTTTACTTACTATAAAATTCTTAAAGTTAAACTTCCTAAAACTTGGTCAGCAACCAATCAATGTGAAACTAACAACTTAGAATACTAAACAGGGCATTGTGGAGCAAAGGCGAAGCTAGGGGTGGTTAAATGGCTGTTAAACAGTGTCGCCCCTCCCCAACCCCACCCCTCCAAAGACAAAAACAAATTTTATATAAATAATTGATATAGTTACAGATCAATAAAAGCTTTATACTCCAATGATTAAAAAGTTAAAAGTGCAAGGTGGATTCTCGGACTTTGGTTCAAATCTTTACTACTGCAAATTTTACCAAATTATTTTTTTCACCCAACACTCTTAATGTTGATTTTAAACTTTGGCTTTTCAACTCCACAAAAAAATAAATAAAAAAAAAAAAACCCCTCCCCATGGTTGTGGAGACAAGCAAGCAGTCAATTTTAGTGGAAGACTTATTCTTCCCCTGCTTTAAAATACCACATTTCAATCATGTGTGTGAATGTTCATTTCTCATCCCCCTCTCCAACACCTCCCCTGAAAAAAAGAGTAAGCAGTTGTTTTTAAGACACAGTTCCCATGGCCTTTGCAGAGTATCACTACCTGATTCTGACCTAACACAAAATCAAGGAAAATTTGAGCAAATGCTGAAAATGCAAGACAAAAATTTAATCATCAAAAAATTACATAATTGATTGGTACAGCTGGTCCCTTGCAGTGCACCAGTGTAGCAGATTATAATAAAAACAAAATGAAAGAGAATTAACGTATACGGAGTAGTTGATTGCAAACATAACTTAGTTTCAAGGCTCAATTAGGAAATAACTGATTAGAAAGGAGAGAATTGGTAGTCAATCAAAGTAGACTTAGTCCACATAGATTTCAACAAGCACAGCAATATAACAACAAACAAAAAATGACAGGAAATTTCTGGTCACTTATAACATAGGCTCTGTACCAATTGTTTGTGAAAGACATCACCATCATGCTCTCTATTGTATCAATCAGCCAATTGAGAGCAACAACTCATTGTAAGTATTTATCAATCAGCTATCTACAATGCAAGCTTTGTAATTAGTTTGGCAATAGCTATTAAATTTAAAAAGATATTATAAAGCATACCTGTGTTTCATGACATACTAAATCGAACTCATCCTGAAAAAGTGCAACATTTAAACTAGTATTAACAGCAGCTTGAGATGTTTCACACAACAACTTCCAACACTAAACCAAATGCGTAGAGAGGGTTTCCAGTTTCCAGAGTACTTATTAGATGCACATGGCTTAATAATTTAAATAGTCCTCAATCACATAATAGTTCAAACACTTATCAATGCATCGAGTTTTAGGAGAGCAGTTGTGGTTGTCTTCTCTATTGTATTTTAATGGAACTGTTGACATGATAGGAGATAGTGGGATAAGCAAATTGTTTTTATAATGGAAAAATAGATGTAAAAGGAGATGGTGGGTCCAAAAAGGAAAATAAAATATAAGTGCTAGGACACTAGGACCGTAAAAGTAAGGGTTGCAACTATTATGAGACAGATAGAAAAAACAAGTGTTCAAAATATTAAGGGATGGAAGGAGAATACATTAGTATGGCAACCAGAGACCAACATGCTATTAATTTGACAAGAAAACATAGTATCTTGAGGGAAAGGGGGGGAGAAGGGAGATTAACTAGAGAAAGAAAATTGATAAACATGAGTAGATGAGTTAAAATAATGCACAAGCTTATTGCACAATTTAACAAAAAATAATTAGATTCTATTTCTTTGGAAAAAAAAAAGGTAAGGAAGGATGTAACTTTTTGAATCAGAATCAAGCAGGAAAGCATATGGGGAATAAAGAGACAGAGGCATAAGTAGAATAAATCAAATAATGCAATCTTGGAGACATTGATACAATCCAAGGCATAGTGGAAAGGTAAAGGATCAAAGGGCACTCCGTTTCCATTAAAAGAGAAATCTTTAGTTAAATTCAATAAGAAGGCCATCATGGACCAAGATTCAAATTAATCAATCGTGTTGAAATAGTTAGAATATTGAGCAGACAAAAAAATTCAAACTAATGAATACGTGTTTTCAAGAGTGTGGTGGAAAAGAATACTTTAAAAACAGTGAAACAGTTACAAAAAGGAGAGCATGCTGATTTTTTGTTTTAGTATTCGCTAAGCAAAGAAATTCTTATGGCCTTCTGGGTAATAAGAGCCATGCCCTCTAGAGCCTCTCCTCTTGCTTATGTAAAATATGCTTCCAAGTTGGGAAAAAACCAATTTCATCCATAAGACCATAAGGCTTGCAAATTTAACAAGCATAAAAGGGAAGATGATGAACTTAAAAAAATAAAAATTAAAAAAAAATAAAATTCCATTCATCCTTAGAAAATCCATTTTCATACCATTTTGTGCCGAACTCCCATTGAAAAATTGTTTTTTAGCAAGATTATTATTGAAAAGCGGAAATCTTTCCTACCAAGAAAGGAACACCTCTCTTATACTGAAGCAGAAATGAAATTTAAGAAAAAAAAAAAAAAAAAAGACAGTTTCAATTACTGGGACAGAAAAGTAAAGAATTTGCATGTGAAATACAATAAAACTGCAAATAAAAACATTTGAAGAAGAAAAGAGCAAAAAACCAATACCTGCATATTTTCATGTAGCGATGTAATGACCTGTTAAAAATAGAGAGAGAGAGAGAGAGAGAGAGAGTGAATATGAAAGTCAGCTAGCTCAATCTAGTTTAAGGAATAATAGAAGACTGAGCCAATTCATTTTAAACCATATTGTGTTTTCTTCCAGTAAAGAAAAATGTCACATACATGTAAATTATGCTTTCTATATTCGAGGTATATTATACAACATAAAATGTCACTCTAATATTGAGAAATTCTGCTTAGTGACACTCATTCATAGAATGTAAACTTTGTTTAGAACCAAACTGTATTTACTATTTAATAATTGTTATGCGGATATTGAACTATTGTTTGTGGTCGACGTTGATTGACTAAACCTTTTACAAATTTTCTGCTATTCCTCTATAAAGTACTTGAATTGATTTCACATGTTAGGGGATTTCAGGAAGCTACAGGGCCATGTAAACTTTCACTAATTGTAGAGCTTAGATTGGGTTGTCCTAGCAAATGACTTGAGCACTAAATTGCAACATATTTGAGACCAGAGTCCACCAGACATGATTGTGGAGGCAAAGCCAATTAGGGACCAGATAGAATAGCAATTCAACTGATTTAAGAGTTAGCTATTTGCGCAGAAGGGCAATCAATTGTACTCTGGCGCTGTTGCTGAGTAAGCTTTCTTATGAATTTTGAATTTTTGATTGTATCGTTTTCCTTTGCACTAGTATTCTAGTAAACAAGATTTTGAGTTAATATCAAGTGATTCAAATATGTAATAAACAATATCCAATCCTACAGACAGAAATACAATCGAAAGTGTTAACCATAAAGCTCGTCATCTAACTAATGAGCAAGTTTCTGGTCTAAGGGCTAAGTTGACGTCTTACTGTCCTAGTGAAGCATGGGTTTACTTATAGATTTACATACCTGTACTACTATGTTATTTCTAGTCTCTTAGAAAGTTATGAACTTCAGAAGTAGCCTCCAACAACCAATAAACAGAGAGCCAGAAGTTATACATTAAGTAAAGCTGGCTATAGAAAGCTTATGGCACAATTCGATAATATGGTGCAAAGAAGATGACGAATTAATTATTTCCAATTTCATGTTCTCACTCTAGTACTCCTTAGCTTCTCCAAAAGCCTTTTATTAGTAAAAATAAAATTCCTTTTGACTAGATACAGTGATCTAACAGGGCACCAATATACAAAGCTCAATTTCAAAAAGTTGAAGAGCCACTACGGGGCACGGGGGACAGTCACCACATGTTAGACGTCAAATGAATCACAGAATATATCAGGGACAAACAAGTGCAAAGTTGAAATGTTCTACTTGAATAACATAATAGTCTTAGTAGATGCTAAACCTGAAGTCACAATTAACAATGCAGCTCTTCCATTATTATAGAGGATCCTCAAAAAACACTAAACAAAAGAAGCACCACTTAGTACATAAATCACATTGACATCGAACCGATAGCCTTAAGTGACTCCTGCAACATTTTCTCAGATTATAAAATCAGGCACATCATCCATTGCATTCCAGCAACTACAAGTAAACGTGTCCTGATTTGGAGTAAGTTATGCAATTGCAATGCTACCATCAGCAGATTTATGAAGATCGCACAATTTATTTGACTGGACTTGCAATGTCACCTAGGTGCTATGGAAGAACTAACATGAAGGAGCCTGTGATGCAAGTGTGTGCCAAATTTCCAACAGAACTAAATTTCCCGGCAAATTGCTACCTTTCAAATGATCAAGTTCATTCATGTGGAGGATCTAACCGACATCTTTCTTCTAACCTAAATTATGTTATGTGACACTAAGAATTTTATGGTCTCAATGTCTCATTTGAGCTCCAAAATAATTGATTTGCCATTAGCAGTAATCACATTAGCAGTAATCACTGCCAATCAATCATGTCACTTAATTTTTCATAACACTTATCGCTGTATTAGAAATTTCAATTTACCACTAGATAAATAAATTGCAACATACGGGGTACAATACAACTACAAGAAAATGTTTTAGCAATCATCTATTTATACAATGTTGAGAAAATTACCTGAATATATAGCTGATAAAGCCGATCATGCTCTGCTCCGGTGAACCTTGGAAATGCTCTACAGAAATCCTAACAAAAAAAAAAAAACCAAAATTAAATAGTAGTAAATTTATCATTTCACAACATAAATTCGAAACATCATATATATACAAACTATACTGAACTCCATTCCTACCTCCGGGTTTAGTTGTCACATTACAAATTCAAATTACATCATCAATCAATGCGATAGTTAATTCTAAACAATACAAACTTAAACTTGAGCTCGAACTCGTGAAACAGAATAAACAATCAAAAACAGGAAATTAAAAATCAAAAAAATTACAATTTAGTTAAAAATTACCTCAAAAGGAAAAGCCGTAAGCAGAAAACCTAAGCAATGCTTAAATGATTTCTTCAAATTGGAGTGTCTGGTTCCAGGAATTGCAATTTCAACTGATTTCTCCATTTCTCTACCTCACGAGCTAAACCTACGCCATAATTGCAGAATTTCAACTTACAATTTACAAAAAATTCACTCTCAAATTTCCAAAAACCCTAAATTTGCAATGTTTATTATGCAGAATTTCAGTCGGTTAATCGCTAAAATGAACTCACGTTTCAAATTTAGTATACTAATATTACTAATTACGAAAAAGTAAATTGCAAAAATATGATGATGAATATTTTGAATTTGACATCATTAGTTAAGTTGAAGAGAGAGGGAGTAAAAAGTAGGAAAAGAAATTACCTGAAACGAATTCAATTTTCTCCCCGCCTTCCTTATTTTTTTTTTTTTTTGAGGTAAGTAATTAAACGGCAATCCCCGGCACTTCCTCCTAAATTTTTTTCTCCCTTGTTGTTGTTGTTACAGTGATAATTGCAACTCTTTTCTTTTACGTTTATTTCATAATAGTTGTAACCTGTGATGCACAGACACGCCACCTGACAGGAGAGTCCGAGTCGACACGCGTGTCGGACACGGACACGGGTGGGACACGGGGCGACACGTGTCCGACACGCAGAAAATCGTGTCCGTTTTTTTTTTTTAAATTTTGATACTTGGACACGGACCGTGTCACCCCAAGACACGGCCCGTTTTGTATTGGACACGCGAAATACAATACCCTCACTGACTCATGCTCCGCCTCTCCCAACTTCCCAAGTCTCAAACTCTCAATCCTCTCATTCTCTCACTAACTCATACCCTAAGTACTTTGTAGCTCGTCGTCGTCGCCCGTCAGTCGTCACCGCCGGCCGTCGGTCTCACAACCGCTGTCACATTCAAACGTCTGTCTCTGATCTGCTAGCTGCGTCTCTCACCGAGTCACCGTTCGTTGCTGTTTAGGCTTGTCACCTGCTGCTCGTGCTAGGCTGCTAGCCTTCTCTCACCGTTGTTCGTCCTCAGCCACCGCCCACCAGGCCACCAGTCTCCAGCTCACTGTCGTCTGTCGCCTGTCGTCCGTCGCGCGTCAGCCACCAGGTATGGTTCTGAGGTTCTCTACTTTGTTTTTTTTTTTTTTAAATTCAATTAATTTTCTAATTTTCGATTGCTCCTTCATGTATACATTCAATTAATTTTCTGAAATTCAATTGCTCCTTCATGTATACATTCAATTAATTTTCTGAAATTCAATTGCTCCTTCATGTATACATTCAATTAATTTAACTTTAACTTGATTAGAATCAGGAACAAGCGTGCATAATTGATCCTTCATGTATACATCCTGTATACTGTAATGAAAATGAAGAACTGAAAATTTGATTTTTGATACTTTGATGTATACTGTATAGTTGGCTAGTTGCTGGACTTGTTGGACTTGTTTAATTAAACTTTAATGCATTTGATATAAGCATGAAAAACTGAAATTGTATTGTTGTCTTGTTGAAATTCTCAGGAATGTCTTCTAGTTCCTCTGCTTCATGCAATGTCAGTGGTAGTAGTAATTCATCTGAGTCTATGAAAGACCCCTACCCTTTGTGGAAGTTTGTTGTTAAGGGTGATAAAATATCGGGTGGTGGAGGAAATTATAATTGGAAATGTAACTTTTGCGGCGAAGTTAAAAATGGTTCATACACTAGAGTGAAAGCTCATTTGCTAGGTGAACAAGGGAAAGGGATTCAAACTTGTAATAAAGTGAAAATTGATGACCTTGCTAAACTAAGATCGCTTCATCGTGAATCCGAGGATTATAAAAAATCTTTGTTACCAAAAGTTCCACCTTTTTCAAATGAACCCATATCTTCTCACACATCAACTGAAGCTACATCAATGAGACTAGGTTCATTTGATAATGTAAAGAAGAGGAAATCAAAAAATACAATTTCTGATGCTTTTAATGTGAAATCTCGTGACCACTTGGATTCTGAAATTGCTAGAATGTTTTACACAGGGGGGTTGCCTTTTAATCTTGCTAGAAACCCTTACTATGTTAGTTCATATACAATGGCTTCCAATTCTAATCTCTCTGGTTATAAGCCTCCCGGATACAACAAACTTAGAACAACTTTGCTTTGTAAAGAGACAGAAAATGTGGATAGGTTATTACAACCTATGAAAGCCACATGGAAAACAAAAGGTGTTAGCATTGTTAGTGATGGGTGGAGTGATCCACAAAGAAGGCCTTTGATTAACATTATGATTGCTTCTGAAACGGGTCCTATGTTTATGAAAGCTATTGATTGCTCGGGTGAGATTAAGGACAAAGATTTCATTGCTACCTTACTAAGTGAGGTGATTGATGAAATTGGAGATCAAAATGTTGTTCAAATAATCACAGATAATGCAAGTAATTGTAAGGCTGCAGGGGAATTGGTTGAGGGTAGGTATCCTCATATATATTGGACACCATGTGTTGTTCATACACTTAATCTTGCAATGAAAAGCATCTGTGCAGCTAAGAATGTGTTGAATAATGTTGAAGTATATGATGAATGTAATTGGATAACGGAAGTTCATGCAGATGCCTTGTTCATTAAAAATTACATAATGAATCATTCGATGAGGCTTTCAATGTTCAATAAGTTTTCGCCATTAAAACTACTTTGCATTGCCGACACTCGTTTTGCTTCAATTGTGTGCATGCTTAAAAGGTTGAAACTCCTTAAAACATCACTTCAATCAATGGTTATTAGTGAGAATTGGTCCTTATACAAGGATGATCGACGCGGGCAAGCCTCACATGTAAGGGAAAAGATTTTGGATGAAATATGGTGGGAAAAAGTTGATTACATTCTTGATTTTACACGCCCAATCTATGAGATGATTAGGGTTTGTGACACCGACAAATCTTCCTTGCATTTGGTTTATGAAAGATGGGACATTATGGTTCAAAAGGTGAAAGATGCCATCTACAAGAAAGAGGGTAAACTAGATTATGAACAATCTACCTTCTTTAATGTAGTTAAAGGGATTCTTAGTAGTCGTTGGAGTAAGGGTAGTACTCCACTTCATTCATTAGCACATTCTTTGAATCCAAGGTAAGTTTTACTTATTTAATTCATCTTTATTTATTTTTCCTTGTTTTTTATTTAATTTCTTATGGCTATTCTTATTTTGTTGTTAAAGATTTTACACGGAAGAATGGCTTAATGAGGTCCCGGGACGAGTTGCTCCAAATGCCGACAATGAAATTTCCACACAAAGATTACAATGCTTTCGAAGGCTTTTCCAAAGTCCCGATGAAAGATTCAAGATCAACACGGAATTTGCAATATTCTCACAAAAATCAGAGGGGATCTTTCTCAACATTGATTGCATGCATGATATGGCTTTGATGGATGCTAAAAATTGGTGGGCAACTTATGGTTCCCAAGTGCCTATGCTTCAAGGTTTGGCTTATAAGCTATTAGGTCAACCTTCTTCCTCTTCTTGTAGTGAAAGGAATTGGAGCACCTATAAGTTTATTCATTCTTGCACTAGAAATAAGCTTACTCCTAAACGTGCTCAAGACTTGGTATACATTCATAACAACCTTCGATTACTTTCTAGGAGAAGTGAAGAATACACTAAGGGGAGATCTAAGTTGTGGGATGTGGGTGGAGATGAGCATGACAACCTAGGAGAGGTTGGTATTCTAGAGATGGCCGAGCTCTCACTTGATGAACCCGAGATGGAGAATATGATTTTTGATGATGTACTTGGTGATGGTGAAGAATGAAACTATTAGTACTTTTGTTTATTTTATTTATGATTTGTAAAACTATTATTAAGACATGTATTTGGTTTGATGGTTTCTTGATATGTATGAGACTACGTTCGTACACTTTGTTTATTTACTTGTTTTAACAAAATTGTGTGTTTTGAGGCTAATTATTTAGTGTTTTATTGAATAGGTTGTCAAATTCTCATTTTTTTGATATATTATATGCCTTGTTATATGCCGTACCCGTGTCCCCTATTTCAGGATTGCCGTTTTCCCGTGTCCGTATCGTGTCCGTGTCCGTGTCCGTGTCGGTATCCGTGCAACATAGGTTGTAACACTTTCTTATTTGATAAGGATTTATTACTATTTGATTAATTATCTCTCCTATTAACCTCATTTTCACAAATATTTTATTACTTCTTTCTCCTACTAATCCAACTTACATTACTTTTTGAGAAATTCTACATTATAACCCTCTAATTTTGCATTTTCTACGTTGTGCCCCATCTTTTTTAAAGTTATACATTGTAACCCTCAGGTATAATTAGTAATCATATGGTGACCTTATCGTTATCCCGCCGTTAACAAATTCCGTTATGTTATTTAAACACCGTTAGTGGGGCCCACTCTCCACTTATTAATATTTTTTATTGATTTGTGTATTGATAAATGTTTCGTTAAAGGTGTTGAGGGCCATTTTGGTCCTTATAGATCCAAATTGAGCACAAATTTGGCAAAAAAATACGTAAATGTCTCGTTTTGTGTATCATAAAATGTCTAGATTTGCGTGTTATTGTTTTTTTAGCCGCAGAAATTGTCAAGTAAGATTTAAGGTCATTTTAGTTCTAAAGGAATCAAATTTAGCTCAAAGCCGGCAAAAAAAATATAATTGTCGCATTATTTTTTATTTTTTTTGGGTAAGTAAGAATATATTAATATGGCAAAAAGTTGTACAAAGACAACGGGGCATACCCCTGAGACTTAGAACCCAACTAGGCCTAAGAACACTAAACTACAACTACAAAACTGCAACTACATTACACGCCCAATTTGAGCCTATGAAACCATTTGCAATCCTTTACAAGCCATTTTCTATTTATTAATCTCTGTACCCTCCAAACTATATCTGTTTTAACCTTCGTTGCTACACCTTTAGGTCGACACACTGCCTTCTAACAGAAAACTACATTCTTGACATGCCATATATGATAGACTAAAGCAGCTAGAACTGCATACCCTACCTGCCTTTGTTTTCCAGCTTGAAACCTCTTGCCCCAAATTTTCTATGCTCTCTGAATTTCTGCAGCAGGGATGCTGGTCATTCTCAACCATTGTAGTATGTACTGCAAGCAAAGCCTGGTGTAAGAACAACTGAAAACCAGATTTCTTTCTGTCTCTATTTCATTCCCACACAACAAGCAAATCTCCTCATTACACACTCCAAGGCTGATACTCTATGTGTGAGTGGGTTCTCATTCTTTCCTAGACATCAATTCAGGTGATGAAAGAGTGTTTTGGAACATTCAACTTGTTTCATACCCACTTTGTCCAGTGGCATCTAATTTGCTCACCTTCTCTCAGCCATTTGTAGCATTTTGCAATCAAGTACTTGCCACTTTCCCAGCTTTTATTCTCAAAACTAGCTTTCAATCTATCCTTGACCCTACATAACATCTTCCATCCCCAACTAGCATTGGTGGGGGCATTATAAGCCCACCAATTATCTTCTTTGATGTAGACTGAGTGAACCCACTCACACATAGAGTATCAGCCTTAAGAGCTACATCTGCCAAACATACTTTCCCAAGGCAGTTGTATTCCATGCAATATAGTCTCTAATACCTAGACTTCCCTCTTTCTTAGGTTTACAAGCCCAATTCCAAGCCACTAGAGGGCTCTTAGACATAGAAGCCTGACTATTCCATAAGAAAGCTCTACATAATTGAACAATCCTCATCATCACAGTCTTAGGTAAGAGCATAGCCTATGCCCAATAAGTGTGAATACTCATAAGCACAACATTAACCAGACAGTTCTAGAAGCATAAGAGAGATGCTTGCTAGACAAGCAGTGAATTCTTCTGGTAATCTTATCAATAAGAGGGTCATACTCACATACTTTCAATCTCCTAGTATTTAGAGGCACACCCAAATAATGAAAGGGAAACACTCCCTCTACAAACCCATGCTTAGCCATAACAACATGTTGAACACTTTCTGGTACATTACCAAATTAAACAGCAGTTTTCTCACTATTAGCATGTAAACCAAAGACTTTAGAAAAAGTGTACAGAGCCTTCATAGCAAGATCAATATATAAGCTATCACCTCTACTGAAGATCATCAGATCATCTGCAAAGACCAGGTGATTAAGCTTAAGATCAGCACACCTCTGATGATACCTGAACTCCTTTTTCTCACCAATTTTCTTCATCAGTCTTGTTAGGTATTCCATGGCTAAAACAAAAGGCAGAGGTGACATAGGATCACCCTGCCTAATACCATTTTTAGCTTGAAAAAACCCATGCAAGCTCTCATTCAGCATGACAGAGAAAGCTGGAGTTGTGACATACATCATGATCCACCCAATGAATCTCTCAGGGATCGGAACTTAAGAGCTATTAAAAGCTCTCTAAGAAACTGCCATCCCACTGAATCATACGCCTTCTTGAGATCAACCTTAATAGTACACTTTGGAGCAGAATTCTTGCACTTGTAATATTTGAGCATATCTTGGCAAACTAAAATATTATCAAGGATAGATCTGCCTGAAACAAAAGCACCTTGCACCATATCCGCCAAGGAGTGCAACACCTCTTTCATTCTGCAACAAATCATTCTAGAAATGATCTTATAAACCACATTGCAAAATGTAATTGGTCTGTATTGAGTCACCTTTGCAACCTGTTCTACCTTAGGGATCAAAGTTAAAGTAGTGCAGGTAAGCTGTTTTAACAGCTTCCCATTCTAACAAGGGGACGATGAAGGTTTCCTTGCTTTCTATGGTATATGGCGAGAAAAAGCGGCTCACCTTGCCCAAAGGCCACCCGAACTCAAGTTAGTACAAAAATTCATTGACAATTGTCATGAAAAGTCCAACAAGCATCTACGCTACCTTGGTCTAGACACTTTTCAAAAAGACTATTGCGTGGCCACTAGGATTGAAGATGATCTTGCCAAAGAAAAGGCAAGCAAGCCTTATCATCATCAACCTAAAAACAACTAAAAGAAGGGGAATGGTAACACTTCATCGTATATTGATGTTTTTGCAACGTCCACACAATATAATAATAACGATCCTCGAAAAAGATGGACAGGAGAAAGAACATTCACTCAATTCCCTTTAGCTTATAAAGAATTGTTAGAAAAATTAAATGAAAAAGGATTACTCTCACCAACTGGGCCAACACCTCCTCCTACCGTAGAAAGAAGAAATCTTCAATGGGATGGTAATGCTTATTGTACTTATCATAAGGGTGTTGGGCATGATACTGAATGTTGCTTTGTTTTGAAACACAATATTTAAGATCTAGTAGACGATGGGAAAATTCCCACGCCTAAGCCTAATAATAATGTTTCCACATTAGGAATATTTTATATCGATGAGGACCACGTGAGGAGTGATGAGTTAAATCCTTTGGATTACATCACTCCCATGGGGAAACCTCTAACCACAACACTCATAGGGGCAACTAATGAAGTGTGTGGATTATGGGACGACGACTTTAAAGACCTATATGTCTCAAAATATGCCGTCGTCCCACCTTCCCCTTGTCTCCAAGTTAAAACAAGTGGAGCGCTTGATTGGGATCATTTTTTGGGAAAATCGTAAGATTTGTCCAACCTTTCCTTAGATGAACAATGGCATCAAGCACAACTCATGGAACATTTAGAAATGGAGGCACATTCAACGCCTGTAGAAGAAAATTGGTTCACGTGTACTAAGACTAATCCAAACGAGATTGATCACCTAACTCGTTCTGGGCGAGTCTATCAAACACAACCAAGTGGATCTTCAACCAATCAAGGCAAAATCAAAATCCAATACCGCCTCCACTTAAGGTAGAAGATCCATTGGTCAAACAACTTCGTCAATCTAAGGCAAATGTTAGCATTTGGGAACTCCTAAGTACCTTTAAGGAACATAGGAATTCTTTAATGAATGCTCTAACTGCTTTGTTTGTAAGTACAGACACAGCTCTCCAGGATCTTGTTAGCTTTCTTACTAGCGAAAAATCCAACAAATTAATCATCTTTACTAGTGATGATTTGCCATCAAAAGGCACCCCTCCCAATAATGCATTATATCTAATTATGGGGTGCAAGGGATACAACATCCCTTTTACTTTAGTTGACAATGTGTCCGCTGTCAATGTGTGCCCATTACGAACTGCAAAATATCTAGGCCTAGACCCAGAAAAATATTTTCATGCAACAACACAAAGCATTAGGGCCTACGATAATTCAAGGAGATTGGTGTGTGGAACTGTTAAGCTACCAATTACCACAAGCCCAATACATAAGATGGTTGAATTCCATGTCATGGACATAAAACCTACATTCAACCTTCTTCTTGGACGTCCTTGGATACATAAACTTGGAGCAATACCGTCTTCGCTCCATCAAATGATTAGGTTGAACTATCAAGGTCATCCTATGATTATACATGCTTCTCCTCTAAAAGTCGCAATAAAAGATCAATCTCTTTTAGAGATAAATCATGAAAATGATGAAGAAGATATGTGGGGATTCGCCGCAGAGGCTATCTGCACATTAGAAATGGATGAAGATCTTGAAGTACCTTTCAAACTTGATCCATATTCCACCCCATTAGTAAACAACATCTTATTCAAGAGTAGTTACTTTCCTGGGATGCCTTTGGGAATAGGAATGAAGAAATCTATCTTACTTCCTATCCGAAACAAAAGCTTCTCCTTTGGATTGGGATATAAACCAACTAAGGAAGAACTCGAAGCTCACGATGCCAAAGTAAGGGCACATAGGAGAAACTATAAGAAAGGGATAGTTTCCTTACTTCCATCTTACAATCAAACCCCTAATGGGCAATTCATTAGGGAGGGGGAAAATTACTCATGCTACGACTTTCCAGAACCACTAGTTCTTGAAGGTATCAAGAAGCCTGGATTCGAGATTTTTCACGATTGCTACTTCTTGAATGATGACTTAAACATCACTCAATCAAAACACCCAACTCCAGGGTGCTATGATAGGCAAGCCTTTAACTTGCTATTTGGAATAGAGCAAAACCATGTTGCTATCATAACCAATCAAAATGCCATCTAAGATGAAGCTTTCGACCCAATCTCATTGATCACCCCTCTCAATAATACTTTCGAGCGTGGATGGAGAAAGACCTTCAAGTGGACTAACCACAAGGGTGACAAGCTAGAAATCACCACAGGCGAAGGACAAATGTTTGAAGAATCCGACTACGAGTCTAATTTAGATTTTAAGGAAGCTGAGAATTTAGGCCTTGTGGCCATTACTGAGTCTTTAATTTCTAGTTCTAAGGACGAGGATCCCAAAAAGGATTCCTCTCTTGATGTACTTTCTTTTGATTTCAATAATATGAGCTTTATTTCCGAGTATATGCCTTCTCTTGAATCTTTTGAATGCTACAATAATCAATCTAACGAGGATGATGACATCAATAAATTGATTGAATTAATGAATGAACGAGAACAAAAGAATCCTGTGATAGAAGAAACTGAAACGATCAATATAGGAACAGATGAAAATAAGAAAGAAGTCAAAGTTGGTTTAACCTTAAATCCGGAAGAGCAATCGAATCTCATATCGACGCTTAAAGAATTCGAAGACGTGTTTTCTTGGTCATACAAGGACATGCTTGGAATAAATAGGGAAATTGTGGAACATACCATTCCCTTGAACCCTATGTCTAAACCAGTAAAACAAAAACTTCGACGAATGAAACCCGACGTTGCTTTAAAAATAAAAGAAGAAGTACAAAAACAGTTGGACGCAGGTTTCATTCGCGTATGTAATTACTCAGAATGGGTAGCGAACATCGTCCCAATCCTTAAAAAGGATGGACGAGTTCACATGTGTGTCGACTTTAGGGGTCTCAACAAAGCTAGTCCCAAAGACGATTTCCCTCTACCACATATTGATATAATGGTGGATAATACGGCTGAACATGTGATGTTATCCTTCATGGATGGATACGCAGGATACAACTAAATTCTTATGGCAAAAGAAGATGAAAAAAAGATATGCTTTATTACCCCTCAGGGTACTTATTGCTACACAGTCATGCCATTTGGTCTTAAAAATGCAGGAGCTACGTACCAAAGAACGGCTACGACTCTCTTGCATGATATGATACATAAAGAAATAGAGGTATATGTGGATGATATGATCGTAAATTCCAAAGATAGAATGGGTTATGTAAGAGCTTTACACAAATTCTTTACTCGAATAAAAGAGTACAAGATGAGATTGAATTCACAAAAATGTGCTTTCGGAGTAACTTCTGACAAGTTACTCAGATACGTAGTAAGCACACGTGGCGTTGAGATCGATCCCTCAAAAATAAAGGCAATTATTGACATGCCTCCCCCTCAAACATAAAAACAAATTAGGGGGTTTCTTGGCAAATTTCAGTACATTAGTCGATTAATTAGTAAGTTGACAATGACTTGTGAACAAATATTCAAAAAATTGAAAAAGAAGAAAAACATGAATGGGACAACCAATGCCAAGAGGCCTTTGAGAAAGTAAAAACTATCTCAGCCTCCAGTTTTAGCACTACCAGTACCCAAACTACCTCTTAGACTTTATATCACTATCACGGACACGGCCATAGGACCATGCTCGCACAAGAGGTAGATAAAGTAGAACGTGCAATATACTATATAAGTAAAAAGTTTATTCAATATGAAATAAGATATAGCACTTTAGAAAAAAACGTGTTTAGCTTTAGTGTGGGCAACTAAAAAATTACGTTATTATATGCTTCCCCACACCACTCATGTGATTTCTCAACACAATCCAATAAAGTATTTGTTTGAACAACCACCCATACAAGGAAAAATATCCAAGTGGTTGGTGATTTTGGCCGAATTCGACCTCAAATATATTCCTAAAAAATCAATAAAAGGAAAGGTAATATCCGATTTTCTGGCACAACATCCCATTCTAACAAGTCGTGAAGAAACCACTCAGCTTCCGGATGAAGAAATTCTCATGACACAAGATGACAAGTGTTATTCATAAGTCCAGAGGGAGCACATACTCCAATCTCTGCCAAATTAGACTTTGAGACTACTAATAATGCTGCGGAATGTGAAGCGTGCAGTGTTAGATTAGAAGCAACAGCTAGCATAGGTGTGCAAAAATTAGAGGTATATGGAGATTCCAGTTTAATAATAAATCATATACTCAAAAAATGGAAAATAAAAAACTCCACAATGATGTTATACCAAGCACACCTAGAGCAACTCATCGAGCAATTTGATTATATCGATTTTAAATATCTCCCAAGGGACGAAAATCAATTTTTCGATGCGCTAGCAAAATTAGCCTCAATGATCA